GTCACCTCTAGAAAGGAAAGTACATGTACATAGAGGCGATTTCGTATGAGTAGGAAACGGCGATGACGAATCACGTCCGTACCGTAACTGTATCGTAGCTGTATCGTATTCATGGATTCTGATTTGTTGGCATTTTTTTCTGCTCACACCTGATTGGATTGATTTGTATGTACCGTAGTTTKCCRAACCGTAAGTTCGATTGTTGATTGGATGAAGCCGACACTTGCCGTATCGCGSGTTAYGGTWCCGTAAGCTGTAYCGTAAGTTCGATCGTTGATTGGGTAAATACGGTGCTCGCGTGATACCGTACTTTAGCCGTATCGTRAGCGTGATTCCTGATTGGCTGAGAAACTTTCTATTGACAACTGGTCTACGTCATCTTGTCACACAACACCTAGTTGCTGAATTCTCGCCACCTGTTTTTGCGAAGTTTTCGACAGAAAATTCGATCAGAAAAGCCTTTTAAGGATGAAAGTCAATGGGAATCAGTTTTTTGTAAGTAGAGATTTTATAAAATGACTGGCAGATGTTGAGATTTGAAGATTATTATATCAATATTCCTCTATTTTATCGGCATTTCGAGACCTCACTAGTGTCTATTTGTTGAGAAGGTGTAGTCTTGGTATCTTGATGTCAGCTTAATTAAATGATATTTTTGATGAATAAACCAGTTGAATTAGCTTTTGTTTGTATTTATTTGAGCATTTTTAAGCAGGGAGAATATTTGCAATTCATTGTGTGAAAGTTTTTAGTTTGTCAAACTTTCGGGTATTCAAGCACTCACGCGTGACATGTTCAGTCGGTAATTTTCAAGCATTACTTGAAATTTTTTTGTAGTGCTTGCTTGACAATACCACTTAAATGTTTTGTAGGGAAAATTAGCCTTTTTTTCGTTGTGATTATCATTATTTCTTGAGATTAACTTAAGAAAGGATCGAAGGAATCCGTATCGTAGCGGTACCGTAGCTGTATCGCGTCAGCATCGGTTTCCCACTCATACGAAAACGACTCTATAATATCACAGTTACGTTCACTGACTGATATAAATTTTTCAAATATTGAATTAACACAAAGCTGCATAGTTTTGACTACATTTTAAACATATGATAAGAAAGCAATAATTTGAAAAATTCAAGTTTGATTTTTGTTGCTTGTGCCTACAGAAGTAGTCTCCTTCGCATCCGTTCATCGTCGGGACAGGAATCCCGAAACGCAAACGGATGCGAAGCAACGCCAACTCTTCAAAGGCGAAAATACATAATTGGATTTTTAAATTTTCTCACGAAAAATACACAGCAATGTCACACATACATTTTATTTCTTAAATCCGGTGCTAGGTTTTTTATTAACAAAATAAGCTATGCGCGAGGCCCAGTTTTTTGGAGCGAACTGTGGTGAAAACATGGATCGCCATACTATTTTAATGCTCAACTTCAACTCTTCAAGGGCAAAAATACATGATTGGATTTTCGAATTTTCTCACTAAAAATACCCAGAAAGGTCACATATAGATTTTATTTCTTAAATCCGGTGCTAGGTTTTTACGATTGTTTTTAATGTCGCCGCATTTCTTCAAAAAGCCTTGAAATCTGGCCTTTTTTCGTCAAATTTGGCACTTCATACGGACTGTCAGGTCAAGCTTGAGTGATCACGGACTATTTGTCCCCATAAGTTTCATATGATAAACTTAGATATATAAGTGGATTTTTGGCAAGAAAACCGCTTTTATGCTGCTAAAATCCCGTGTCCTTGCTTCACTAACACATGAGCCCGCGTGTTTACATCGAGCCGCTGACTGTATCAAATTTCTGGGAATGAACAAAGTTTCTTCTTGTTCTAATTTGAAATCTTTACCCAAACAAGACTGTCTAATGCTAAAATTCAGTTTCGTAAGCATACTACTCGAAGCTCCATGCGATCCTCACATGCGCGCACTTCTGATGCCTAGACTGATGCATTCCGATGAGATCGCAGATACCACATTTGTAAACGAATAGTTTTTTTATCACATAAAAGCGCAAGTAGCATCTAACATTTACTAACGATATTTGTACATCTATACGTTTGAGCTTCCGGTCTTGAAATAACACGGCTAACCCAATAGTTACTTATTAAATTCTTAACTTCCGGTGGTCCAAACGCGACATGACACATAAATAGATAAATAGATAGATATCTGTCAAATTTGGCGGAGTTACTCCACGTAGAGCGCTCGATGCTAGGCAGAGCTGAAGTATTTAGAGAGTTTATAAATATCATAAACTCTCTTAATAAATGGATAGATAGATAGATAGATTGATTGATTCGGAAGGGAAAAAAAGCGAAGGAAATACATATAAAAGAAACATTTTGATTTATTGCATCTCCACCAAGGTTTTCAGTTTTCATAATTTTGAATAAAAGGAGCACCGTTTGTTGTTCTCCAATTCCCGAATGGCTTTCTGAAACAAAAGCTTTTCAAATTGAATTTGTAGGAATGTGAGAAATGCAACCATTGATATGAATAGTCTATCTCATTTGTCAAATTCAAAAGAATAATTAACTTGCTATCGAGGCCTAATTGCAACTGAAAAGGTGTATTGCACTTGATTTTCATGAATTCTATATATGACATGTTTTAAAATATTGACCTGATCAAAGCAAAATAAACTGAATTTTGAATGTGTTTCTTTCGTCATGATCGTTACAAAAAAAACTCTCTCCAGACACCTTAAGAGCTGATTCGATATACATGTTGTCATTATAGTGCCGATTATTTACAATCTCGTGCCAAAAGTCCATGAAATTTTCGCCGCAGACCGAAAGTTCCAAATATATGCGGGCTTAGTGAACGAAATTTGATTCTTTGTTTCATGCTCAAAGTTTTAAGTATTATTTAAGAGATTAGATTCACTTTTTCTTATTTTTCATGTTCACTTTTTTGCGTACGACATATAGGCAAAGACGCCATTTTGTGCAAAAAAGAATCATGGTAGTTGTAGTCTTCACACTTTTGTCCGCAAAAACAGTCCTTCTACCCAGTTTTTGCTTTATCTAAGCAAAAATAGAAGTATTTGTGCCGTTTCTAAAATAAAATGTAAAAATGGTTATTAAGAAAATATTTTAGGGGCTACCATCATGCTTTGCTGCACAAAATGGCGTCGCTGCACATTGCCTATTTGCCGGGTCCGAACATGGTGAAAAACGAGAAACACGCACGACAAACTTGAAAAGCAACAATGTTGCGCAAAGAGTGTTAAGTGTTTTGTACTTTTTGGGCTTTAATGCTTTTTATGACGACAACATTTAAATAAAGTATATCCTCATTAATTGCTCTGTTTCTTTATGACGTCACAACATGACGAATGGGAAATAGAAAAACTCAAAACCAAAAGAGTTTTTACCTGATTTCTCAAACTTTCAGTCATAGGTTTTGTCAGTAATTATAGTATTTTTTCTAATTATTTGTCTCTAAATGAATTTCGTTTAACGTTGTTTGCTTTGTGTTTCCGCTATTCTTCCTTCATTAACTTCTTTAAATTGATTTTACCGGAACGTCGTCGTGGTAAAATAATTGTTTTGATTTTCAACAGAAAGGAAAACAAATCCTTGCCTGGAATTCAAAGGTAACTGAATTGATTAACCTCTTTATTTTAATTTCACATGGCGCAAACGTCAAGCTCCCTTGTGTACATACAAATACAAATACTTATTACATACACTTTCGATTAACCAAAGCGAGGAAACACAATTTCTACAACCAATAGATTTTTGTTTTAGAAAGTATTCAAGCATTGGTAGAACGATTCGACGTACAACAAAAAGGTAAGTGAAAACACTCAACACTTCATTCAGAGCAGACGACTGATTTATTAGGACATCTCGCTGAACATGATGCTTTATTGTATTTCCTAAAATATGATGTTTGACGTCATCAGTGTATCTATTAGAGTACAAGAGTACAGATACATGGAAAAATGAAATTTGTTTGTTAAGTAATCAGTGCCTTTCAAAAAGCGGTCAGTCATGTGTAGTTGAGCGATCTGTGAGATACGTTGATAATTGTTGAGTTAAGTCGAATAGAGTAATGTTACACCCGATTTCAAATGAGTGCGAACTCTCGATTTTTTTTTCGGACGCTAAACTTTCACTCGACCACTTGGTAACCTGGCACAGCTTGAAGCGGGTAAAATTATCCAAGTATAAAAACCATGGTTAATGTATGTCTGTGGGCTAAATTCCTACAGTTTGTGATCACACTACAAAACGACCTTATTGTAAAAACTAGTTTCGGTTTACTTAACTTTCTCAGCTCACAATAACAACGAAACAGTGGGAAAATATATAGCGTGACAAACACTGACAAGCGCGCGCACTTTAAATCGCTTTTAGTGTTCGTAGGCCGTTCTTTGTTGATTTTACTAGTTTACTGATTAAAMTGAAGAGGTTATCGGACGATATTCGGTGGCAGATTATTTACCATGAACTTATTTACGGTTCAAGCATTAAGGAAACTTGTAGAGCGTTATTTGCAGGGAAAACTTTTGTTTGTAAAATTCGACAACTTTATAAACGTACAGGAAACGTTGCTGTACATACACATGTAAGTGTCATTGTATACTTGTATTCAATCAATCAGGGTTTTTACAGTAATACGGATAAGAATATATTTACTTCTTCGAAAGAAGGTTACATTTAAATATAAGCTACTTCGTTTTCAACCTTTAATTTAAACAACAATGTTGCAATTATTTTTTCGCTTGCTTGATAATTTTTTTATTGTAAACTTAAATTGTTTACATAACGAAAGAAAAGAAAAATGTGTATTTTAGTTCAACATAAGAATATCTTTTCAAGATGCAGAAAACAACACCCTCAAGTTCATGGTTCTTGCAAAGCTATACCTAATTGTGCAAAGGATTATTTGCATGCATTTGATGTTTACAAGTTAATAAAGCCAAATTTAAACTACAAATCAGATAGAAAATTATATTTTTTAATCAAGTTTAGTTGATATTCTTCTAATTGTTCTCAATTGCATTGAGTGAAGTAGAATGTTCTGGGAAACACAAGGACCACAGRTATCTCGAACAAAGAYCACCGCTTCTTCCTCCATAATTCTAAATGCGAAAGTCCCGCTACAGAAAGTCACGCATCACTTACTAAACACGTGTGCCTGGTTACCAAGTGGTCGAGTGAATGACGGTCGAGTGAAAGTTTAGCGTTCAAAAAAAATTCGAGAGTTCGCACTCATTTGAAATCGGGTGTAATTGGTTGGACTTGAACTCATGGTGCTCGTGTTTCATCAACCAATTTTGTTTTATTTACCAAGCTTTCGGGCCAGGCTTAGGTTGTGCTATAGTTTTAAAATAATGTCAATAATTATGGTGTTTTTTTTGGTTATTTGTCCTCTAAATGTACTTTTGTTTATAGTTTTTTTTCCGACATAGTCTTTTTCCTGATTATCATAAACACAGTGGAATGATTTAATGTAACGTGCGTCGTGGTAAAATAGGGCAATAATTGTTTTAATTTTAAACAGAAAGGAAATCAGAGCATGGACATGAATTCAAAGGTAACTCAATTGATTAATATCTATGTTATATCTATGTTAATATTTATGTTTGAGTACAAGAGTACAGATACATGGAAAAATGAAATTTGTTTGTTAAGTAATCAGTGCCTTTCAAAAAGCGGTCAGTCATGTGTAGTTGAGATCTGTGAGATACGTTGATAATCACGTTGAGTTAAGTCGAATAGAGTAATGTTGGTTGGACTTGAACTCATGGTGCTCGTGTTTCATCAACCAATTTTGTTTTATCATGGATAATAAAATCACTGGATAGGAAACGTCGGGTCACGTGACGTTATTTACCAATCCTCAGGGTTACAATGGTTTGAAGGATAAAAAGCGGTTTTTTGCTTTTTTGTATTTCCTAAAATATGATGTTTGACGTCATCAGTGTATCCATTAGAGAAATTGAGTTCAAAATAGGAAAACATGAACAAAACCTTTGATAATTTCTAGTTCGCTCGTACATGCACAAATGGTTTTTGAATCTCTTGATGGTTCATCCTTTTCCAATGTTTTGCCATTTTTTATTCAAATAACCCTTTAATTAAGTCACAGGCAACCCAAGCAGAGCATTTGAACTTTACAGTGAAAGTATGGGATTCAAAAAAGAAATACATCTTACCTTCATCTCATGTGTTGTTGATGTTATTCAGCATTGCTGTGTGTGGTGTTGAAGGGATTTAGAGCTATTTTTAAAAAAATTCCGACTAGTACGGGGAGTGTAGGAAATTGTACAACTGTCTACATCCCCAAAAGGCACGCCAAGCCCGAGACCGAACGTACACAGCTCAGGGAAAACTCGTTCGCTCGCTTTTCCGAAGTTTTAACCAGCGCCAGTTACGCTGCCAGGTTTATTTTCAGGAGCGATGCAAAGCCAAAGTCTTTCTACACTCGTCCAATCAGAGGGAGTTTTGCAAAAGGACGAAAGTCTGTGTCCAACAAGGTCGATGAAGGCTTGAGCGTACAAACATGACGATTTTGCACGGTTGGATTTGAAATCAGTTGAAAGATTGCCTAATTCTGGATAGAAGGATCTTAGAGACTTGCCGCTGAGGAGATTTTGGAGGAAAAAGATGGATTTAAGATATTTTTTTCGGCCGTCAAAGACGGGTGGTGTGGAAGCTCTTTAACCAGCCTTGTAGTCTTTTATGACTGATGGCGATGCATATGGAACTTATTGCCATACATCGGGTGACATTTGCTTGGATTATTGTCCAGGCTCACTCATGCATCCATGCATGCATGTATATATGCATGTAATTTATTTATTTACTTCATGAAATATAATACAATGGAGTTAATTAATATTTTGTCGTCGATCGACCTCATTAACATCATCATCTGACCATTAAATACTATTAATAGCAAAGTCACCTCTAGAAAGGAAAGTACATGTACATATAATATCACAGTTACGTTCACTGACTGATATAAATTTTTCAAATATTGAATTAACACAAAACTGCATAGTTTTGAGTACATTTTCAACATATAATAAGAAAGCAATAATTTGAAAAATTCAAGTTTGATTTTTGTGGCTTGTGCCTACAGAAGTAGTCTCCTTTGCATCCGTTCATCGTCGGGACAGGAATCCCGAAACGCAAACGGATGCGAAGCAACGCCAACTCTTCAAAGGCGAAAATACGTGATTTGATTTTTAAATTTTCTCACGAAAAATACACAGCAATGTCACACATACATTTTATTTCTTAAATCCGGTGCTAGGTTTTTTATTAACAAAATAAGTTATACGCGAGGCCCAGTTTTTTGGAGCGAACTGTGGTGAAAACATGGATCGCCATACTATTTTAATGCTCAACTTCAACTCTTCAAGGGCAAAAATACGTGATTGGATTTTCGAATTTTCTCATGAAAAATACGCAGAAAGGTCGCATATAGATTTTATTTCTTAAATCCGGTGCTAGGTTTTTACGATTGTTTTTAATGTCGCCGCATTTCTTCAAAAAGCCTTGAAATCTGGCCTTTTTTCGTCAAATTTGGCACTTCATACGGACTGTCAGGTCAAGCTTGAGTGATCACGGACTATTTGTCCCCCATAAGTTCCATATGTTTTTTTTAAATAGCTTTCAAAAACTCATACATAATTAATGAGTTATTAGGCCAATAGAATGAGCCTATTTGGTCACATGTATGGATCTTTGTATAGTTTAAAACACGAGAGACAGTGTTTTATGCATGTGATATTTAAAAAACTAGTAGGAGTGTTTTATCGTGCGACATAAACACGAGGCCGAAGGCCGAGTGTTTATATCCACGATAAAACACGAAYTACGAGTTTTTTAAATKACTTCTAAAACCCAAACCTAAGAAACTACAATAAACATGAAATACATAAAAAAATGAATGATTGATGAAGATATCTCCATCTGAGCATGAGCAGTAATCAACTTGGTTTCCCACATCCGAGCGCCACTATGTTTTAGTGTACTGTGACTCTGCAAATAAGTAATTTTAACTCGAGACCTAGTGAAGTTCTATGATGAGAGTCTAAAACTGAGAACTTTTCTAGTGTTGGGCATACATCGAGTGTCTGTAAATCAGTTACAACACTGATGTTTTATGCATGAGTGTTATAACTAACTGAACCGGTTAGTTATAAAACTCATGTTTAATTAATCAGTGTTTATAACTTGAGTTATAGATCCTGTCATGTGACCCATAGTTGAATGCTCATTGGAAGAATGTCTAATGAATAATTCATGAGTTTTAGAA